CAGGATTGTTGATTCTCTGTTTGGCTTAGTTTTTCGGATCTTTGTTGTGGAGGGACGGCGTGGTGCTTCTGCCTAGACCGCCATCTTGCCCCACCTCTGGTACCTTTATTTTTTTTTCTAAATAAGTAGAAATAAGTTCAAAGCTATTATTTGCTCTAAATTAAAAGAGAGTAACATGACACTGGGAAAATTTTGCTAATCTTATGAAATTTGGGGCCTCTGTAGATGAAATGGAAACCCTGGTGGTATAGTGGTTAAGAGCTACGGCTGCTTACGAAAAGATTGGCAGTTCGAATCCACCAGGCGCTCCTTGGAAACCCTATGGAGCAGTTCTACTCTGTCGTATAGAGTTGCTATGAGTCGGAATCGACTCGATGGCAACAGGTTTCATTTTTGGGGGGTTTGGTATAGATTAAATATATTTGCTTTCCCTCAAAGGTGATGCTTCTGACACAGTAGAGGATCCTGTTACTTTGAAAATCTTTGGTTGGTTGGTTTTTGGTTTGAGAATGCCATCCAAATTTAAAGTGTTGCCCATTTCAGTGTATTCCCTTTGTTTTTATGTTCCAGGGGAAAATTTATCCATTTCGGGGCACCTTCCCTCCAGTGTGGAACCCGATCGCATATCTGGATTACAACAACCTATGGCGAACAATGGATAACATGGGGAAGGAGGTAAAAATGTGTATTCAGCTTGCACGTGACCCGTTACTGAAATCACAGTAACAGCTGCTTAATATGCTTCTACAGTTGCTCGCTCTGGAAACGTTGCTCTGGGCATTGATGTGTATCATTTCTTATGCTCACAACAACTTCGCAAAGTTGATAGGATTACCACTTTACAAATGAGGAAAATGAGGTGCCAAGAGATTATGTAATTTACCCAAGACCACATAGCAATGGAACCAGGATTCAAACTCGTATCTGTTTGATACGAATGACTGTATGCCTTCAACTGCATAGAATTTAGCATTTATGTGAAGTATTTTTGCCAGGTATTTGTACTTAAGTCTTCTTATCCATGCATGATGTCACTTAGATAGAAAAGGAGAGAAGGGTTTGCTTCTCCAAAGCTTTTTTACTTAGTTTTAGGCTCTGTAACATTGCTCTCTTTAGCTTGAATCAGGGATCTAAAATGGGGGTTAGCTTTTAATAAAAATAATCAATATCATTAATATTACTTTTTTATTTCTATATAAGTATATAGACATTTTATGTAATTACATAGTAAGTATTATTGTTATTTTGGCAACAATTTTAAGGTATAGAACCCAAGGAACTACCCCCCATCATCTGTATGTAGAATTCCATGCCAATTCCACATTCCAACATAGAGACATAGAGACTGGTTTTCAGAGGTTCTCATGAAGGCCTCTCCAGGGGGCAGTGGGCAGTTACCATCACATTTGAATGTGGGACCTTCTTTATCTGCAGATTCCAGCTGAAGCTCCATGGGATGCCCCACACGCCGAGGAGTGGGATAAGTTGACCATGAAAGATCTCATCGATAAAATCTGCTGGACAAAGTAGACTGGGCTATTTAAAATTTACTTTTTCTCTTCCTTTCCTGTCCTTTCTGTATTAATAACTTATAAGAAAAAAAGTTAAGGGAAACTTAATGCTCTTGCAAGCCAGTAACAACTTTGAAGGCACTTTAGACATTTAAGAGCAGGGTTTGAACGTAAAATGATTCTATCTACAACTTAGAAATAAAAGTAGGTGAATTTGAAGTAGAGCTTTCAATGAAAGGGTCATGTGATCTGCAATAAAATAAGTAATTGTATGCTCATATTGTAGAGACATCAGCTACAGAAGTGGTTTAGAAAGAGATTTAAAAAGTAATTCTATATGGATGTTATAGAAAAATATGATGTTTTAAATTAGAATCCATGTTATTAGTTTAATTACTTACAGTTCATTCATTGAGTCAGCATGTATTTCTTTTGTGCCTGCTATATGCAGGCACTGAAGGCCATGGTGAACTTATTAGGCATGGCCCCCTCCCTCATGGAGCTGATATTCTTCTAGCAGGTGAGCCTGATGTTGAACACATAATTACCTAATGCTAGGATAGTGCCTGCAACAAGGGGAACCTCACCTGGTGTGAGGGTAAAGGAGGGTTCCCTTGACAAAGCCATCTTTATATTGAAATTTAAGAGTTAGAGTTAGTCAGCTAAGCACTGAGGCACAGTGGCTGGGGGGAAACAGGGAATGGTGGATGGTGCGGGAGGATGGTATCTTCCTGGTAGAGAGAACAGGGTACAGCTTATACAAAGGCCCTGAAATAGGAAGGAAATTAGCATGTTTTAACGACTGAATAGACTGTATGCTTGCACCATACAGGTGACATGAGCAAGTAGTGTAAGGGGAGGTTAGAGAATTGAGCAAAAGGCACAAGATTTATTGGCCACATCCACGATGTTGACCTTTCTCCATTGAAAGCCACTGAAGAGTTTTAAGCAGAGGACTGATGAGCTTTGTACTTTGAAAAGACCTCTTTGGTTGTAGTGTGGAGAAGGATACAAGAGGGGATGTAGGATGACCAGTTAGGAGCCACCATTGTTGCAGCACAGATGAGGTACAATAGTAGCCTGGACCCAAGGCAATGGAGATGGAGAGGAGAGGACAGGTGTTAAAATGAATGGAAGTAAATATCCCTAATGACCACAGACAAGCAATATTGCCCTCTTACACTGCATTGGGAATAGCAGATTTGGAGGTAACCCATAACTTTTTAAAAGCAAGGGAAAACTTTATTATCTCCAAGAGTTAAAAAACACATTCCTTCAGAAACTGAACCCATGAGCTGTTTTCAAAGACAGTGGAAATACTCTAATCATATGAACTTGTGTTTCTGAAACATAATGTAATCCTGTTAAGCTTGTATGTATGTGTGTCTGACTTCCATTCTTGCTCTGTGAACAGGACTGCTAGACAGTTTGCTTATCTTTTTGTGAACATCAACGTGACCTCCGAGCCCTATGAAGTCTCTGCCCTGTGGTTCTTGTGGTATGTGAAGCAGTGCGGGGGCACCACTCGAATCTTCTCGGTTACCAACGGGGGCCAGGTATGGAGTGTCCATGCTGAAATTCTAGCTTAATTTGTGATCTTGCCCTCACCCCAACAGTGCTTTAATCATTGCTTCAGTATTTTGAAACACAGATAATTAACAACTTGAAATGCTCTCAAAAGTTTTCTGAAAAAAAAAGTTTTATCGTTTCATTTTCTTGTTCCTGAAAATAAGTTGACACCTAAAGAATGTTTGATTTAGGATTAATTAGGTTTTTGGAAATTAAGTTATTTCCTCTGGAGGTAGGTAATAAGTTAGACTATGTAGTAGAAGCTCAATTCCTAAAATAAACCAATTTCCCCAATATTCTAGTACTTGTAAGATTATTGTACTTACAGGCATCTCTGTTCCAGACATGAGGATTTTGTGTCATCTGTTTCTCAGAGTTATTCTTTTATGTCCTCTGTTATAGAATGGAAGTGATTGGTCTTCCTTCTAATTCACACTTACATGAATTAGCCACTCTTTCAGTAGTTGATTCTATATTTTGGATTTGTAACTTTTGCTGCCTACTTGCTGTAACATGGCTTCCACACCACTTCCATTACTAATGATTGAGCTCATTTGGTCAGCAAACCTCACAGACTTTGGCTGGACAGCCAGCAAACCAGAAGTGAAGCAAGAATCCTAATTTCCTGCTTTGCCAGATTCTAAAATTCTTTATTTCGAGGCTGTCCCTTACCCAAAGAGACTGGGTATATTTTTTCTAGGAGTATTTTGTCTGCATAGGATCAGATTTAATTAGTAGCGGTTGATTTATGCTCTGCTATGTTCTTTGTGTCCCAGAATTCCAGGTGTATAGTGTAAGGTCTAAAGTCTCCACTAAGTAAACTAACTATTCCTTTCCTTAGGAGATCTTGAGAAGTCTCTCAGTTGTTCTTGTGGCCCCAAGATTTATTGGCCATTTGACCCTTAGCCAAATATAGGACAGTTGTGTTTTTTTTATTAAGTGTCTTTACTTAGGCAGAAATCCTACATTGCACCTTTTTTTCCCCATAGAAAATTTATACATACATTGTTATGTGACTGTAATTACTCTCCCCATACTGTGACAGCACACTCCTCCTTTCCACCCCTGATTCCCCACGTCCATTCAACCAGCTCCTAACCCTCTCTGCCTTCCCATCT